GGCTAGACTGGCAGTCAAGCCGTACTTAAGTAAGTACGGCTAGAACTCACAGTCTGGCCGTACTTATTCTTAAGGCCACCTCTATTCTCACCCGGAGTGAGAATAGTGCAGGCGAGTCTTGTGGCTATTCTCAGCCGGTGCGCGTTCACCCTAAACCACAGAATTCTACACTGTGATGACAGAAAAATTGTAGAATTCTGTGCTGTGAACAAACGTTCCATTACAATTGTAGCCTACTAAAAGCGTACAATTTTGTCTGTGGGCAGTGGAGAGAGAGAGAGAAAGAGAGAGAGGAGTTGCGCGAGAATTTCCGGGCAAAACAAAATGGCGACCCACGTAGTTCGGCTCGATTCGAAAAGTTAAATAGCTGTAGCATCTTTGTAGACAACCAAATTTATTTACTTTTGTGTTTTAACATCATTTTTTAACTTTGTTTTGGTCAATTTGATCGTCCACACCGATAGACAGTATTCAGAAAGAGACAGAGAGAGAAAGAAGAGGGGAGGAGTTGATCTTGCGAGAACTTCCGGGTGGGTGAGAATAGCCACTTTCTATTCTTAAACCATTTACAAAAAATAGGCCTACTGAATTGTAAATATACATTTTTAGTGTGCAGTACCTAAAGTCTAAAGTATTTGTATTTGAGATGAAACCATGTGCCTTAATGACAGTGCATGTATTTTAAACCTCCTGTTTTCTAATGTTAATAGGGTAGAGGGTGCATATTCCGACACTGTGTGCTATTCCGACACCCCTCGTGGGGTGCACTCCAAAAACAACGAACAGTGCGGAAATACTACAACTTATGCGCGCGGGTCTATTTTCAACCGGCAGCCGAACTATCTTTTTTTAACGATGTGCGTCATTTCTAAATATAGGTGTAATAGTTTTCCCATAAACCCCCAAGAAGTGACACCGCTCTTTTTCGCGTCCAATTTCGAACGTTTTCAAGCTCCGTGTTTCTAAAGCAGCAATATCACAAGGTGAGTAAACAAGTCCTATTTCTTGTGTAAAAGGCTGTATGTGATAAATGAATGTACTAAATGAATATTAGATGATTAAAATTGCTGTTTTCAACAAAATTTGATAGATTTTATTGCTTTAAACTGGTTAAATATGTGCTCAAAAAGTGTCGAATTTCCCCACATAAAAAAATGCCACTCTCAGAATTACGACACCCCTTCTGTCAATAATTCGACACCCCATGCTGCTATTTCGACACCCCTGGTGGTAATGTCGACACCCCCTGTGGGTTATTTCAACACTATGTCAGTAGATTCATTTTCAATACAATGTTATGTAAATGACTATGTATCCATTTATGTATTTTGTGAATTGCAGTGTGAATATTATTTTTTGCTCATTTCGTGACGATGTGTAAGCGTGTGCGTGTGATAAGCAAGTAGATGTGTGTGTGCGCGTATGTGCGTGTTTGTGTGTGTGTGTTTGGCGTACATGTGTGTGTACATGTGTGGGTGTTATGTGTTCGTGAGTGTGTGTGTGTGTGTTTGTGTGTGTATGAGTGTGTGTATGTGTGTGTATGTGTGTGTGTGCAGCAGATGCAGCAACAGCAGATGCAGCAGCTGCAGCAACAGCAGCAGCAACAAGACCAACAAGAGCAGCAACAGTAACAACAGCAGCAGTGGAAACAAATGCAGCAGCAACAACAACAAGAACCACAGCAGCAGCAACAACAAGAACCACAGCAGTGCAGCAACAACAAAAACCACAGCAGCAGCAACAACAAGAACCACAGCAGCAGCAACAACAAGAACCACAGCAGCAGCAACAACAACAGCAGCAACAACAACAGCAGCAACAACAACAGATGCAACAGCAACAACAACAGATGCAACAGCAACAACAACAGATGCAACAACAACAGATGCAACAACAACAGATGCAACAACAACAGATGCAATAACAACAGATGCAACAACAACAGATGCAACAACAACAGATGCAACAACAACAGATGCAACAACAACAGATGCAACAGCAACAACAACAGATGCAACAACAACAGATGCAACAG